ATCACCCCAGTCCTCTTCAAGTTTCACCACCTGCTCAGGAGCCGAGAATCGTGCCAGCTGAAGTAGTGCCTGAGCTAAGTTGTGACCATCATAACTGCATTATTTACCTGAATTGCTTTGTTGAAGGCTTTTCCATTTACATAACATTCCAAAGCTTTTTCGAAATCTTTCATATGTTCATATAATTCTCCAGCCTATAATCATTATGATAGTATCATATCAAGAGAGCGTAAACTAAGAAGAGACATCGAACCGGCGCTTAAAATTGTATCAAAAAGAATTTTTCTCTTCATTTGGGAATTCGACAAGCCGTAAATCTATAAAACTTTATAGAATGTGCATCCTGGCCGTAAACTCTCACGAAATCCCCGTTTCATTCCGGTCTGGGCGGGAATTCATCTGAGGCAGAAAAACAAAGGTTCAAAACGCATTCGTCTGTATTGCGGTGTATAACAAGAAAGTACACGGACAGCCAAAACGAATATCGACTCCGACGACTGACCGGAACTTTTGCAGAACGTTTGTGAAAGCAGCACGATCACCTGCGCGTTCTGTGAACGTGCTGCGGAAGTTCGGAAGAATGCGAACCAACAGCAAAAGAGAACACTCAAGCGAGATTTGAATCACACTATAACTGCGAGACTCATCAGGCATTTTTCGAAACTTCTAATTCATTTTCAGCGTTTCCACGTTTGTAATAAAAAACAAAATCCTGCGGAGCCGCTGCAATTTTTGTTTGTCCTGCGGAAGTTCCGGTAAATTGTCTGAAGAAATGAAAGGAGATGCAAATTTTGTAATTCGGTATCTCAAAGAGCGGTCAAAGATGTATTGGAAAGCTTGAAAGCATAGTCAATTCTTTTGAGAAATTAGAAATTCCAAACTCGTAAAAGCACTGATTTTACCTTGTCAAAAATTTGCGATTGCATCAGTTGAGCAGCTATAGATGACATCAACTGATCATCTTTAGCTAATGCCGGATCCGTAAGCGCAGTTGATAGAGCTTGCACCGGCTGTTTGGCTTTCAAATACAGATTCACAGCTCCCGCAACGTCGCCATCTGCTATTTTGATCTGCAAAAATGTTAGATTCGAGCAAACGATCACATAAAAATGAGGAGAAACATACTTCTGCAGCTTTTGCATCTTGTCCTGTATCGAAAAGAGCTCTGTAATAATTTGCCTTCAACTGCTCATAGCCACCGTAATTCTGCAAAATGGAATGTTGAGTCAAGAAGGCGACTTCAAAAGTCAAGTACCGTAGCCTTTGCCAGTTCCAATGCTTCATCCCATTTGTGGAGAGTTTGGTACATTTCGATAGCCTCTTCCACTGCATTCTAAAAA